CTTCTCAAACAAGCAAATGCTGGATCCTGTATAGGGGAGGATTTAGCACAACATCACGGAAATGCAAAGCAAGAATGCAGAGTGTCTCAGTAGTGGGTCAGATGGTACCGGCAGGACGTACAGTCCACCACCCTGGTCCAGAGGAAAGTCAGGCTGGGGTGGCACCAGGCTACTCAGTTGAATATGGAGATGAACAGATCCCCTGCCCTCTGCTGAGGAGCCCTTCTGGGACTCGGTCCCCATCCGAGAGGCAGGTGAGCAGGATGGGGTTAATGCAGACACAGCTGGAGCTCTGGCTCCTCCAGCAGCCTCCATCACCTGCCTGTTTGATGTTCATAGAACGGGGGTCAGGATTAAGGAGACACTGTACAAAGCTCTTAGCACCCTGTAAGTGCTCAGAACAAACACTCCAGCAACCCTAGCGGCTACTTGTTCTGAGATCTCAGCCCTGCGCTAGGCATGGGAAGCTTAGGGAGATGGGAGCGAGCCAGCCCCTCACCTGGGCCCTCGCGGGGGCCTACCTGTCCTCTTGCACAGGCTGGATAAAGTGACCCTTGAGGATTGTTCCCCACCCTTGGGAACCCTCGGCACGTCTTGCAACCAGCACATAAGATCTGGGGTCTTATGGAAAAGGTATTCGATACATTAGGTGACCCCAACTCAGCTGTGCTCTGGCAACCCGTTGTAACACTTCATAGGTTCATTATATCAGCCTGTGGACTGACAAATTCACTTTAACCCAGAGCCAGAGCAAAGGGAAGCAGGCTGTGTTTGCAGAAGACTGAGCTTCCTGTACATTTGCACCTTGGAAGAAGAACTAATAGCACCTGGATGACACATGGACAGGAGCCAGGTCAGTGGCCCTGTGAGTAGGCAGATACCCAGCAGAGGTTGTGCTGCCTGATGCCCATCGATACCCAAGAAGTTAGCACCTCCTGCTGCACTCTAGCCACATAGGGCTCTGCTCCTGCCACAGGCCCTTTGCATGTGCTGTCTCAGCTGTCTTAGCGTCCTCCTCCTAGTCCTCTTCATCTGCTGAACTCTCCTCCACCCAGATTTCACCACCTCTTGACCACCTCAAATTCCTGTATGGTATGTTCTCTGACCACCAGCTGCCTTTGCTCTGAAGACTTGTCACCATTACCCTCAGACATAGCTTGTCTTCCCAGCAGACCAGTAGATTAAGCCTCTGACTATCTAGGAGGTTCTCCCCCAGATCTTTGCAGGGACAGCCCCTCGGAATTTAGGTTTCAGCATCTATGATCTCCACCCCCACATCACTGTCACCATTATCTCTGTCTGAAATCAACCACCCTGTTCACCCACGTGTTTATCTCCCTTTGCTGGATTACGTAAGTCCTACTGCCGTGTCCCTGACACCCAGGACAGGCCCAGGCACCCGGATGGGGTATGGCACTTGCTGTCCCCAGCCTGACTCCCAGGGTCTTCTGACACCCCCATTTCCTCGAGTGCTCACCCTGCCTGACCTGAGCCATGAGTCAGGGAGGCGCGTGGCTGGGCTGGAAGGTGGCTTCTCTCAGGACCAGAGCCCACAGGCCAGCCCCACCTCAGGTGATCAGGGCTTGACAGGGAAGGTCCATCTGCCCCCCCATGACCTTGGTACTTGGTGTGTGGTCCCTGGACCATAGCATTGGCTGGGGAGCTTGTCAGAGTGACCTCAAGAGTTCCCAGTTAGAGATTGTGTGCACATGGAGCCTGCAAGCACCCAAAGGTCTATTCTGAGTGTGGAGACACTCCTAGGAGGGTGACCGGTGGGGCGGGGTCCCAGGATGGAGGCAGTGCCACATGGACTTCCCTTACACGCCTGATGGTGCCCAGATTCCACTTTTAATAGGGCCACCTGGGAAGGTAAGTTGACAATGAAAGGTGGGGTGGGGTGGGAGACATGGCCAACAGTGGGTGATAGAGACTCCAGGATTTAGAGGCTCAAGTCCCTGTCCTGAGAAGGCCCCTCCCTCAGCCTTTCCGGCTGTGAAATGGGCTCATAGTCTCCCCTCTCAGGGAGGCTACTGGTACAACTGAGAAAACAGAAAAAAATCTCCCAAGGTCAACCAAGCACTGTGCAGTCGGTTTATTGTTACTGAGTTAGAAGTCACTCTTGGGAAGCCATTCGGGGCTGTGGGCCGAGCCTCACTGCTGTTCCCAGACAACTCATCTCCCTGGCTGTGGCAGCCATAAATTCCCCTGGGGGCCAGCCTTAGACATCCTCCTATGGTCAGCGTAGGTGGCAACTGTCACCACCCACTGAGCTGCTTTTCTTGGCCACACCACAGGGAGTGGTGGTCCCCAGAGCACATGACTTCCTGGGGAGAGGCAGCAGGGCCTGGGCACCGGTGTTCCCTCCCCCCTGAACCCATGGTGAATGCTGAGGACACACACTACTGAATTTGCTCTTCTGCGCAGACCCAACCCTGTTTGGTGACATCAAACTTTTGGATCCCTGTTCTGAGGTAACTCCAGGCTGGGTTTGTGGAGAGACCTGCTTCCCCTACTTGAGCCTTGGCAGCCTGGGTTCTGATCACGGCGACAATGGTAGACAGACAGATTTCTAGGGGAAAGACCCTGCTCTGCCAAGGATGTAGCTTTTGGAAGCACTGAGGGTCAGAAAGCCAAGTGCCCCAGCAGAGGCTGCTGTCCTGCCCCCAGCTTGGGGGAGGAATCTGGGGCATCTCTTCCTTCCTTGATGCTCCCCAAACCCTGGAGGTGAGCCCCTCCTGCTTAGAGGGGCCAGCACTTCGGGCACAGATGACAACCACTCTCAGAGGAGCACATGGGTGTCCTTCCCAGGTCCACATGCCATGCTACCCTTTAGGGATAGAGACCTCAACTCAGGCTCTTGGAATAGGTCGTTGCAGGTCCCTGCTGTGCCAGCCAGCTGCAGAGTTTGCCATTTAGGATTTTCCCAGGGACAAAGCTCGTCTGACGGTTTCCATGGTAGCTGTTCACTTATCAACCCCTCCTAGTGAGACCCTCCTCCAGACACTGGCTGCCAGGGACCTGGAGCCTCCAGGACTCTAGGAGGCGCTGTGAGGAACACACAGTTGCATTCAAGGTCATCCACGATTCCCAGACCTGCTGGCCCACTGCTATGCATTTTTTCAAGTAATGCTGACTTTGCAGTGACACCCCCCGCATTGTTCACTTGTCTCCAACAGGATTGAGTTGGGACACTCAAGCATCACTTCTGATGTGGGTGCGTGTTGAATTCTAATCCTCAGCTTGGCAGTCAGGCGCCTTTTTGTCCCTTGCCCTTACCCTGCAGGAACTACCACCTGCCAGGGACTCTGTGTCTGTTGCCTCCCAAGAGACAGATCCCAGTTCCAGGTTACCCAGCTAGATGTGGCATGGGAGTGACTGCTGGCCCCAGGCAAAGGGGGGGACTTTGGGACCCTGTGGGGATGGCTAAATGTCATAAAGATCTTGGGGTCTGGATTAAAATGAAACCAAGTGACACACCAGGAGTTCTTTCCTCATCCCTCGACAGCCGCCACCTGCCCACCTATGAGCATCTGGGTTCAGGTGGTGGGGAAGGTGAGGGAGACCTGTGGTCCTCAGTGTAGGGACAAGCAACCTTGAAGGTCACTGGGCCTGTTCCTATTTTTCCCACAAATGGAAGCCCATGGCTTGGGTGGTTCTGGGAGACTGGCGGCCACGGTGAACCCCTTTCATGGACTCCCAAAGTAAGTGGCTTCAGAGGGAGTGGAGTCAATGAATGCTTCATGCAAAACCTGGTGAGTGTGGGGAAGCTCTGCCCAGCTTCTCCTCGGTTACCACTCAGCAAAGCCACCTGTCAGCCAGCTCAAGGCTAATCACTGCCGTCCTGGTCATTGGGGCTGTGCCATGTTGGAGCCTCCTGGAGGATCAGAACATCAAACAATCCTCCCCCTCCCCCTTTCCGATTGCTCCATCCAAAATGGGGTTGGAGAGAGCCGTCCACTGTCCAGTCTATGGGGTAACTGGGATGTTAGACTTGCCCCCCTCACGCTGTCCCTTCTCATTGTCCTGAAAGTTTCAAAGCGTGTGTGTTACAGATATTACCATGTGTTAATCTTACAGCTGTCCATCGCGGGGAAGCAGAAGTATTGTAGGTGAAGATGTTGGAAGCACAGAGAAGTGAGGCCACAGAGAGAAAGCCACATAGCAAAACAGTGGCAGGTCAAGAAAGGGGCTGGAGATTCCCTCCACTGACTCCTGGAATCTGTACGTCAGGGCACTGGTGAGCACACCTGTTTCAGGTGACAGGAGCATCACAGCAAAGGTTCATGGGTTAACAGTGACAAGCATTTCCCTGCTCCAGCCCCCACATTGGGGATGGCTGTCATCCCAAACTGAGCTGAATCCTCTGCTCTTGCCACAGTACCTTTCATCCTGGTCCCAGGATGTCCACATCCCTTGGGATGGGGCTGCCAAGCACTGCCCCACACAGACCCTGCTCCTGGCCCCCTCAGTGCTGCCACTCAGGAGAAGGGCAAACAGCTCCTCATCACTCCCATGTGACCCAGAGCTTGCAAGGTGCAAGGAATGACCAGTCCCCATTCTGTTCCATACTCTCCCGAGAGAGAGAGTCTGTGATCCAGAAACCATGTTCCCAGTCACAGGCAGAGCAGGCTGCAGCCAGGAATCTCCCCAACAACCTGACATCATGCAGCAGGCAGCTTCCTTCCGCCCTTGGTATGTTGGGCATTCCCAGGCTTGGTTGGGGTCCCTCCTGCCCCGGGAGGGTGTTTTGGGGGTCCATGAGCCTCTGGATCTGGCCTGTTCTGAGACTGGCAGCTCAGAGCAGGGCTCAGATGTGCTGGATTACAGAGAGATTGGAAAGCTGATAAGTCTTTGCAGCAAAGTCCATGGCCACCCAAGATGGGTGATCCGGGTTCTGTCTGGCCTTTGCTCCCATCTGAAATTGCAGGGGTCCACTGGGGTCCCACCTGGGCACAGAGATGCTCTCTCAGCCCCAGGCACTCTGTACAGTGGGGATAGCACCTGGGGCCATTGGGCTGATCTTCCCCACCTCTGGGTCTCTCCAGCTTGAGTCTGGTGGAGCCAATGGTTCCTTACACATTGGTGACCTCCAGGTTGTTGTATCCTTCCAGGCGACTCTGCTCTGGCCTGCCCTGGGGATCATCGTCCCCGCAGTCTTCATTTTGAAGAGAGCCGTAGTCATCGTGGAAATCAGTCTCTTTGCTGCTGAAGCCCCTTCCTATCTTCCCCAGGGGAAGCTGAGAAGACAGGAATGAGGCCAGTGACAGGAAGAAGATAGACAAGAAATAAATATTTGAGATTTGAGAAACATGGCGTCTCCAATGTAATTGCTGTGTGACTTTGAGAACCTCCCTTAACCTCTCTATGCTACCCCACTGCTCAGGAAGACTGAGAGGGTTTTGTGAATTAACACAAGAAGAGAGGTGTGTGTTCCCAACTAGAAGGGTTCAGTGGTTTACCAAGAGCTAGGACAAATATTATCAGGCTGATAATCCCTAACATCTCCCCGCTCCGTCCCTCCTCTATGGGAGGAAAGTTGAGAACAGGTGTGTGGGGAAATACCTATACTGTGTTCCCCAGCTCAGAAGGAATATTCTAGCACCCCTTGGTATGGCAGAATATGGGTATTGGAGACTCAAAGACTGGCGTTTGGGTTCCCTGCTCTGCTGCTTCCAGCTGTGTGACCTTGGACAAGTCACCTCCCCTCTCTGAGCCTTAATGTTCCCTGCTACAAAATGAGAAAAGTAATAGCGGGTTGGGGTGAATTGTAGAAATCCCATTTGCAAAGTGCGCAGGCACCTGGTGAGTTGAAGAGGCCATTGTCACATACCAGAGGCCCTGTTATGGCGCCCTTCATTTGAGCAGACCTGTACAACCATGGTCACGACAGTGCCTCACAGTTATTTATACACTTGGCCGCCTTTCTTTCCAGACCTGTGTTTCTCCACTTTAAAAAACCATTATTGGTCCCCCAGGGGGTCTTTGCAGCCAGGTTTTTCTTAATTCCACCCCTGGGATGACATTTTAAGACAACGGATCCACTGTGCATCTCTCCGTTTATGTGACATGTGCGTATCGGTGCTGTGATATGGAAACGTGAGGGTCCCCTCCTCCAAGAACGAGTTTGCACTCCTATGGGGATGGCATTGCCTCCTGTAGAGTGCATGTCCTACACAGAGCATCATGTCCCGACCCTCCCCATGCTGGAGACACAGTTCACAGTAAAGGTGCTGCTGAGCGTGCGGACGGGGTTTTGGATGATCCAGTTTCCGTTCCTGAAGGTGCTAGCATTCAAAATCTGACTTGGGGTTCTTAGAGGTTGGGGTTCCCGGGAACCATTTGGGAAGCCAGCTGTGTGCAGGCAGCTGCTCCTCACCTCACAGACTGCTTTAGGAGGCTGGGGTGGGGGGTCCCTTGATCTGCAGCTGCCCCCAGGATTCTGACACAAGTGGTGAGACCTATACGTCAGGACATGCAGCTCAAGGCCTTGTGGGGACCTTTGTCACTGGGCCTGATGGGCCACACAGGTTCCCTGAAGGTGATGTGCAGGACATCTGTCCTGCATACACCTGCTGCCTGCCATTGCCCCTCTTTCACAGTCCACAAAGGAGCCAGAGCAGCGGCTGGGAGAGGACACATGGCCCAGAAGACAGAGAGGCCTTTCCCAGGTGCGCCTGACGCCCCGCGCGCACTGAGCCACTCACCCGGCTCGTCCTGTACTTGATGCTACCCCCACCGCTGCTGCCGTTCTCCTCCTTCCCTGCCCTGGTGATGCTGGAGGCCCTGCCGGGGGGAGTTCCAAACCGCTCGGCCTCCCGGATGCCTGTGGAGCTGAAACACAGCAGAGCCAGTCACAGACTGACACCCAGGGACGCACCCACTAGCTCACTCACACTGGTGACAATGACCAGAATGCTGAGACTTGCTGGGCACGTCCTAGCTCAGTTCTTTACAAATGTAATCCTCACCTAGACCAGAGGGATGGACAGCCCTGCTTACAGGAGGAGGCACAGAGAGGTTAAGCAATTTGCCCAAGATCACCCAGCTGCCAGCGGCACAGTGAACATCTGAACCCAAGTGTCTAAGAGTTCAAGGTCTTGCTCTTACCTTTTCAGTGTGTTACAAACCTTGCTGGGGAAGGAAACGCTGGATGGAAGAATCCCAAACACTTTGGCCAAGTCAGATGTGATACAAAGAGCAGCAGGAAGGCTTTCTGGCTCTGCATTTGAAATCTGTGTCTCTTACCTCAGACTTGTCTGAAGGTGGCCCCATTGCTCCCTTCTTTATGGAAAGGCACGGAGGTCTGTTAGAATAGGTTTGGCAAACTACAGCCTATAGGCCAAATTCAGCAGCTAACTGATTTTGTGAATAAAGTTTTACTTATTCACAGAACCACGCCTACCTGGTGATTTGTCTATGGCTGCTTTCTTGCTATGGCTCCCAGGTGCTATCCTAATTACCATCCAGCTTCTTACACAACTTTGCCAACTCCTGTGTCAGAACATTAGAACATCCATGCCGTGGATAAAGAAAACCAGGCTCCCTGTACAGTACGGAGTCAGGGCAGGAAACCTGGCCAGACCCAGGAGTCCTGAGCCTTAGCTCAGCCTTCTTTCTCCTTTAGTTTTGGGCAGACCCCACAATCCCACAGGCTCCAGGCTCTTACTACGGGGCTGGAAGACGGTGGCAGAGAGTCTTCTGCAGCTCGTGGACCTCATCACACCCGAGCTGCTTTGTCTGGAATCTTTAGCCAGGCACAATGGATCTACCATTTGCTGGATGTGACCTTGAGCAAGTCACTTCCTTTCTCTAAAGCTTGGTTTCTGTGCTGCCAAGTGGGGGTCACAGCAGAGCCCAGCCCACAAGGTTGTTGGCAGGGGGCAGTGAGGTTGGTTAGTTATAGTCCCCTATAAAAATCTCAGCTAGTAGGCAGCTGTAGGCAGCTCATCTGAGCCTGTTAGGCTCAGCTCCAGGCAGTTAGAAACTGGCCTCACAGGAGCTGTGAGCCACTGTTCAGGTCACCATTCCTAACATCTGTAAGTCACTGCTTCAGTTGGATCTGCTGTGTCCCTCAAAGGCCCATGGTGAATGGCCTGGTCCCCAGGGAGGTGGTGGAACCTTTAAGAGGCGGGGCCTAGTGGCAGGTCTTTAGGTTTTTGGAGGGGCGTGCCCTTGAAGGGGTTGTGGGACCCCGATCTCATCCTCCCCCTTTTCCCTCCCTGACCACAAAGGGAGTGTTTCACTCGTGCTCCCACCACAGCTTGCTACCTCCCCCAGACTAACAACCACAGCCGGGTGGCCAGTCATAGCCAGGTGGCCAGTCACAGGTTGAAACATCCAAAACTGTGAGCCAAAATAAATCTTTGCTCTTTATATGCTGGCCACATGAGGTACCTATTGTAGTAACGGAAATCTGGCTAACTGAGCTGCTCTGGAACTTCTGATGCTTTGGGAGAAAATTGTGCCAGGTAGTTGGGGTGTGGAGGAGACGGCCTGTTGACCCATGGCAGGGGGCACTGAGCTCTCAGACCTGTGGCCAGGCACCAGGGAGACCCACGCTCTGGCAGGTCAGGAATGGAGGTCTTTGCTAATGAGTGCCCTCAATCCTCCAGGAGACGGAAGTCCAGGACATAGTGGGGAAGCAGTGCCCACTGCAGGAGTCAGGAGGATTCAAACTCCGCAGCTTTGTATCCTCGCTTGTAAAATGTGTTCAATCTTCTGACTCGTGGAACGTAAGTCTGGAAATGAGCCCCGGAGAGCCCCAGGCTCCCTTCTCTTACTTTCACTGAAGAAGAAACAGAAGTCCAAAGGGGTGTGCATATTGCCCAAAGGTACATAGGATACATGGTGGCACGGTGGAACTTGAACTTGGTCTCTAAGATCAAGAATCAGACCATGATTTTCTCTCCTTGGACTCAGGGAGGATGGTGGCTAAGTGTGGGCTCCATCTGCTGCCTGGCTGGGCCCCTTAGCATCTGCCTGATAAGACACTAAGGGACTAGGAGGTGGACCAGACACCTCAGGGCAAAGGAACAAGACTATGCCCTTAGAGGCATGCTACAGTTCTGAAGACCAAGACTCAGACTGGCCTTGCTCTCTGGAGGGACTGAGTCCCCCACTCAGCTCCTTCCGTTGAGGGGTGGATGGAAGGTGAACAGGAGAAATGCCAGTCATTCCCGGACACCTGGGGCCTGGAGTCAGGGCCATTTGCACTGGAACTCTCAACACACACACACACACACACACACACACACACAGAGAGAGAGAAAGAGGTAGAGGGAGGAGAGAGAGAGATGGAGAGGGAGGGAGAGAGGGAGGGAGAGAGAGAGAAAGGTGGAGGGGGGAGAGAGAGATGGGGAGGGAGGGAGGGAGAGAGACAGAGAGAGAGAGAGAGAGAAAGAGAGAGATTGAGAACAAGAATGAACAGAGAGGCCTGTGGCCTGGACATCTGCTGTGGCCTAGGCCAACAGTGACCCTGGAGAGCTCCAGGCCAGGTGTTTTGTGCCACTGTCCCTCCATGGTTGTGGCCCTTCTTTCAGGCTGTAGGGAAGCAGTAAAGTATGGTGCTTTGAATCTCACCTTCAGTTTGTCAGCTCAGGGCTCCAGACAGGATGTGTAACCTTGTCTTCCCTCAGTTTCCCCTTCAGTAAAAGGGGACTTCCAGTGCCTGCTACATGGAGGTGACCGTGACGTGGAGCAGATGGCTGAGTTCATGTTGTGCCCTTACCCCACCCCCAGAGATGCCTCACCGAGGGAAGGAGGGGACTCCTCCATTCTTTCAAACAAGATGAGCTGCTTCGGGGCCAGTGGTCATGAAACAGCAGACGAGCCCTGCTGCTGTCGTTGAGCTAGGGATAGGACACATCCTCAAGGGGAGCGCTGGACTGGCCGCCATTTCCACCCAGGCTTTTGTCTCAGCTCCTCTGATACTCCAGCAGATGCCCTTGAGACATCCTGTCCTTCCCAAACCCTTTCTGTTGGCTTTCTTTCTCTGTATCCTTGACCCACACCTATGATTGATGCATGGCTGTGCTGGACAGGGTTTTCAGGAGAAGCAGGAAGTCAGCATGGATCAAAGCAGTCACCAGACACATGCTGGGTCCCGTGATGTCACCTCGCCATGATGCGCACGCAGTAGGAAAACTGACCAGGAGTTATGATAACATGTGAGATCACACAACCATATAAAATGCTACAGAAAGCTTATAAAAGACACTTGGTTATTCTGAGGAATGAGGCGGCCCATGGTCATTTGTAGAATTAATTTAAAACGATGTAATATATGTCTTATGAACACAGAAGCCTTGGGAAATAGATCAGGACTGTGATCCCCGGGAGAAGAGAAACAAACTGCCTTGTCACCCAGAATTTCTGCTTGGAGGCAATTCCCAGACAATGGTAAAAAGATGGAAACCCTAGATTCCAAGATGGCGGCTAGAGGGAGGAAGCAGAAAGCGTGCCTCCTAAAGTAAAATCTTGGAGAGATGCTGGAGATACACCTTACAGGAAAAGCCACCCAGAAGAGGCAAAACTTTGACTCCTCCACACCTCCAGCCTGCGCAGAGCATCTCCACTTTGCGTTAAATGGAGAAACCAGGAGGGCTCCCGCGCTGCCGCCAGACGGTAGCACCCAGATGGCTTGGGAAGACACGGACCACAAGGTGAGCAAAGCGGTACACAGTACTCCCACAGACAACCCTGGGCCAGATCAGCATAGCCCCCTGGACAGACCGACCCCCACCCAGGGGAAAAGGAAAAAAAAACCTGAATAATAAGCAATAACAACAAAAAAGACAAGTAGCAAAGAGGGCGGGGCGCCCTGAGCACTGAAGGTGGGGAAGGGGAAATCCCTCACAGCAAGCCGGGCTGGAGAAGGCAGGAACGGCGGCACACACCCAGCAACCAGAAGTGGGAAGCTTGTAAAAGTGGCGGTGGGAAGAAAACTCCACAGGAGAGGGGGGAAGACCCACTTCCCATGTGAACTGTGAATGAACACGCAGGGCTGAGAAAGTGGGTGCAGTGTCACCTCCCCCAGTGGGCTTGGAAAGGGGAAAGCTTGTAGCAGCGGCTCACGAACAGGAGAACTCTGAGTAAACAAAGCCTGTGGGGCCAGGTGAGTGCTAAGCTCACCCCTGAGATCTGCATAAATAACGCCACCAGCAACGGCAGGCTGACAGCAGCGGGCAGGCAAGCCACAGCTGCAGATACCACTCACAGACCTGTCTCCAGACTTTTTTTTCTCTCTCCCTATCTTTGATGAGACAACAACCAAACTACACTTGCATGCTGAAAAACTACTGAAACTGTTTTGCATTTGATCTGGGGACACTTTGTGGTGTTTTTTTTGTTTTGTGTTGTTCTATTTGGTTTTTTTCCCCTTTGATGAGACAACGACAGAACTACTTCTGAGACACCATCTCCAGGATTGGAGGCTGAGGGACGAACACCAAAATTATTAAGACTGAAACTTTATTGCATTTGAACTTGGAGATTTTTTTATTATTTTTTTCATTTATTTATTTTTTTATTTTTCAATCCTCTCTCTGTCTCTCTAATGCCTGTTCAGCTTACTGTTGATTAGTACACTATCTCTCCCTGTTTATATCTTTGAAATTTTTGTTTGTTTCTTTGTTTTGTTTTTTTCTACTTATTTGTTTTTCCCTTTTCTTTAACTTCTTTGCTTTCCCTCTCCTCTCACCCTTCCATTCTAAATATCACCATTGTTATTATTACAAGCTAGAAAATACTTAATTGCACACAGTACAGGGACAATAACAACACCAAGGGCAATGACAGGAAGACAGAAAAAACAGGGAAACCAGTTTCCCCAC